ATATATATATATATATATATATATATATATATATATATATATATATATATATATATATATATATATATATATTGTATAACTGTAAATAGTTATACCTCGTATAATTTAACCGTCTTTTTATCTACTTTATCTTTACAAAAAGCATTGCTCCGCATCAAAGTTTTGATTGTTTAAAGTAAATAAACAACAAGAACAGATCCATGAGTGGAGGGGGGAGGAGAGCAGGACAATAGGGGCGATCATCTCCCCCTCCCCCTTTCTTACAAATTTTTAAAATAATTATTTTTTTTTAATTTATATATTTAATAAAACATGTTGTTTGAAAATAAAAGTAAATTAAAGAGGCTGTTTAAAAATGATAAGAAATTTTAATAAATGTGTGTGGTGCAAATAAAAATCAGACACTTGGGATATCAGTATGACGTAATTTCATAGTTGCATAGATTAAAATAGTGTAAAACTAAAATTATAAAAAATTTAACAAAAAATTTTTATGGCATGAACCTCAAAGATGCAACCCCTCCTCCCATTTTTGGTTTGGATCCACCAAATCAAAAATTCGTATGCCCTTCCTTCCTTCTTGAGTTTGCTGGATTCATCGTATTAAAAATCTTAAAATTGCCCACTTCCTCCCTTACTAAATGGTCTGGATTCACCTCTGATCAACTATTGGTTTTTGTTTTCAGAATAATGGTAAATAATAATAATAATAATAATAATAATAATAATAATAATTTAGTTAGTGATTTTATTGACTTTTTGGTAAATAAAAAGCTTTTTGAATCTACTTTCCTTAAACTCAATAGATTTTTTTTCTGAAAATGATTGTCAACAGAGTAGTTTTCCCTAAAGAACTTATTGATAATGATTTAAAAACTTTCTCTTGCATTGGACTTGCTTTATTGCATTTGGACTAAACACACTTTAAAAATAATGTATTAACAATAATCATTTCATGCTGTGTAGTTTTATTAAAATATATGTATTTATGTTTTTTGTTACCATTCCTTCGTAACTACAGCTAGTGATGAAAGATTAATTTTGTTACTAAAATTAATGGAAACCTATTTCAAGAAAATCGATTTTTTTTAGGTATTTAACAAAAATACAATGCAGAAATATAAAGTTATTTAACAAAATACAATATAAGAAATACTGTTGGGAAACTCCTTGAATTTATTAACAGTATATAACAACGAGAAGTGACGATTTTTACCTAGGAGTCCATCCATTGAATTCGGCACGGGTCACAGATGGTATAGTTTTGAATAGAAATCATCGAAAACACTATATTTATAAGTCGTAATATAATATATTGAAATTATACGCTATATTTAAAAAAACTTTAAAGATGTAAATTTAAAGATAAATTTTTCCCAACTTTTTACCATCAAAAATACTCTCAAAACTCAGGAAAAAAACTAAAAAACTGGCAACTTTTGACCGCAGAGGAAAGCAATAAAGAAGTTCAAAAAAACAAAAAAACAAAAGTTTTTAGAAGAAAAAACATAATGAGACACCTCATAAACCTACCCATGTTTTTATAAATAAACGTTGACTTTCATTGGCGAAGCTTATTTATTACGCTGTTAAAATGAGATAATTTTACTCATTTATCAAATTACAAAACATTAGAAAACTAAAATTTATTTGAGAAAGGTTTTTTAAATGCTTACAAAGTTTTATGAGCACATGTTGTTTTTTTTTAAACAAATTTACTCCCAAACTAAGCTAGAGGCTGTTTAATTTAAGGGGTAATGCATCATTACTACAATGTACAGAGGTTCAGGTTGTTTAAAGAAAAAGATATCAGTAAAAAATTTTTATCAAAAAAACATCAAAACACCATACAAAACTGGGCAGGAGAGGTAAAAATGGAAATATAGGTAATAAAATTGCAAGCCCGATATAGAAAAAAGGTATAAATTAAGTCAAAATAAAAAAATAAAAACAAGTTCACTGCAGGTTTACTCTATGGCGTCCATTTCTACACGTCTTATATGTAGTCTGTTCCGAGATGTCTACTGCGTACACCGCAACGTCACTTTAAAAGTTCAAATTATTTTGAAATTTTATAAATTAATAATTTTCTTTTTTCCTTCTCTCAATCTTTATTTATTACTTACATCACAAAAAATCAAAGAAAAATAAAAATGCTTTTTATAGTTTTGTATGAAAAGTAAAAAAAAAACTTTTCTAGTTAATACGCAGCGCCCTACTCACACCCTATTCACCCTTTCCCTGGTTGAGCTCTAGATGTTCAAAAAATGCGACAAGAAAATTGACATAAAAAAAATTGCGAATATTAAACAAACAAGTTTGTCATGCCCACAGCTGATAGCTGACAGCTGCGCATTTCGCAAAATCACAAACGATCAACATGCATAATTAACAATTTTAGGAACAACGATGATCTTAAGTTTTTTTCAATTTGTTCGATTTTCCTTTAAATCTTATCAATACAATAGAAAGCCTCATTAACTGTCAATTCTTTGTTTAT